AAGACGGAGTGAGCTCCCGTCTCTAGTTCCAGCTCCTGCCAACCTAGCAGTTCGAAAGCAAGAAATTGCAACCTTTACCTTACTAGCTCACGCTAACTCATCTTAGAGGGAACACGGCCTGTGAGGTAGGTGGGGCGGAGAGACCGCTCTTGAGAGACTGCTCTTGAGAGAACAGCTCTGAGAGAACTTGTGAGTGACCAAAGATCACACCAGCAGCTGCATGTGGAAGAGTGGGGAATCACACCCAGTTCTTCCTGATTAGAGTCCACGCTCTTAACCATTACACCAAACTGGCTCTCATAGAGTCCACAGGATACCATAGAGTCCACCTTCCAAGGCAGCAATTTTCTCCAGGTGAACTGATCTCTTTCACCTGGAGATCAGTTGTAATAGCTGGAGATCTCCAGCTGAAGGCTGGCAACCCTAACAAGGAAGCTCACTTTTAAGTAGTACATATGAAGCCAACTACACGGTGCTATAGTCTTGTAACACGTTAATGGTAAAGGTTCCCTTGCTCGAAAGCCAGTCGAATCCGACTCTAGGGTTGCGGTGCTCATCTCCGTTTCCAAGCCGAAGAGCCAGCGCTGTCTGAAGACGTTTCCGTGGTCATGTGGCCGGCATGACTAAACACCAAGGCGCACGGAACGCTGTTACCTTCCCACCGAAGTGGTCCCTATTTATCTACTTGCAATTTCTTGCTTTTGAACTGCTAGGTTGGCAGGAGCTGGAACTAGAGACGGGAGCTCACTCCATCATGCGGCACACTCGGGTCTCGAACTGCTGAACTACCAACCTTCCACAGCCTGCAGTTCAGCGTCTTAACCACTTGAGCCACCGCAGCTTCTAGTGTGAGCTAGCTTAAAACGTAATGCCATGTAATTCTGTGTTGGGCTGAAGATGCTACTAGTCTTTGCTGACTGGCCACGTGCATCCCAGAGATGGAGAGCCACAGCCTTTCCACAGCAGCATTCAGCTTGTTTGGGGAGAAAGAGAGAGACTGCTTTCACACAAGAGCTGCGCCGCAGTCGCGCCTCCCTTTGCCCCGCTTCTATTGGTCAATTTCCCACTCAAAGCCGCGTGGGCTGCATTTTGATCACGAAACCACAGGAAAAATCGGGCGAAGCTGCAGGTCAAAATGCAGCCGCATGGCTTCAAGTGGGAAATGGATCAATAGAAGCGGGGCAAAGGGAGGCACAACCGCAGCGCAGCTCTTGTGTTAAATCGGTCAGAGAGACAGAGAGAGAGCTTGTGGTGTTTTGCCATGTAAATATTTTGTGTGTGTTTTATTTCTATGTTTTTAATGTGGCGTTTTGAATGCATGTTGTGTTATCCAGGGCTTTTTTTCTGAGGGAATGTGCCGGAGCAGAGTTCCGGAACCTCTTCAACAAAATTCTTCTAAAACCGTTTAAAAGTTTGTGAGTTTTTAGTATACAGATTGAAAATAAACTCTATTTATATCTAAGAAAAACAACGGTTTTGTTTAGAGGTAAAAGATTCCATTTTACCTCAGAGCCACCCCTACGCACTGACCGTCTGGTCATTCTGCCATATACAACTAAGCTGTTCTTTGGGTCCAGCTAAACATTCTAAGGTGAGAGCTTGGGTGGCAGCAAAAATAAGGGAGGCAAGATGGCCGCATAACACATCACCTCAGAATGCTACAGAGAGGTGTCTTTACAGAGGTTACTCATAAAGGGGTGACAGAAGACGGTGCTCCTTTCTTTCTCCCATTGTAACTGCCTCATAATCACCTGGGGCTTCACACCACAAGTTGTCATGAGAAGATCTGGTTGTGTAGCTACTGCCCAAGTGCAGCCACACTAGTTTCAGTGAACCGCAACAAAGTGGGTGACGGAGGGGCTGCCTATAACACCTCATGTGTACCCAAAATACTCCACAACCGCAAGGCTGATCACCATTAGGGACAACAACAGTAGTCAATTTGTAAGTGGATCAGGTGAAAAAAGTCTATAGGCTGAATATGCCTGCTTAGGGGATCCGATTTTGTGAGCGAGAATGATCGGGGATACGATTTTGTGAGCAAGAATGGTCGGAGGGCAATTTCTGACTTTTCATTTGTTTGTTTCACTCTAATGAAGCGAGCTTCTGCCAGGTAGTTCAGCCAAGGTGTTCAATGACTGTGGCACAACAACCTTCCAAGAAACTTTAAAACAGGGGTCCCCAACGCCCGTGGGTGCCATGATTCTTGCTGATACCTTTTCTGGTGCCCACCAAGTGTTTCTAGGAAGTGGGCGGGGCCAGAGAGGGCTTTTGCCCAGCAAGGCTTCTGGTTGACTACTGGAGATTCGATTGGCTGTGCCAATTTTTTTTAAAAAAATGTTGCTTTGGTGGCGGCAGCTGCCACCACAGCAAAAGAATCTGCGCTGTGTTACTGAAGTTAAGCTGTGGCATTTTGAGGATAGCTCCGACTCCTACAGCAGCCATTTTGACAGCCATTTTGTTGCTCTGCCCACCATGCCATGTCAGAATTCCAAACATGCCCACAGGCTCAAAAAGGTTGGGGAGCCCCCCTTTAGACATGATCCAGCAAAGATAAGCACTTTGGTCCTATATGTGTTTTAATGGCTTAGATTAACACAGGAGTTTAACCTCTCCCATGAAATCTTTCCCATTAAAGTCCCGAGTCTTTGAGAGCTGCATGTGCTTGATTTTGGCCGGATTGTGCACTTTATTCCTACAAGATCCCCCAGTTATTATTTACATCTTAAGTTGCTGTATGAAAAATATACAGTGGCCCTGGTCACACGGGCCAGATATCGCAGGGGGGGGGAGGCGTGGCTGTTTGCCCCGGAGCGAACTACCACGTGGCTGCCGGATCAAACATCCCGCCGATGTCCTGTGGTTCGGGGGGAGGTGCCGATCATACGTCAATCTTGCGGCACGGCAAAGAAGCAGCGCGGTGGGGTTGTGTTTTGTTTTTTTAACCAAAGTGTGCGCATGCGCCGTTGGGTGCTTTTGCACATCCCGTGGAGACTTGAAAAAAAGAAACCTTTTCGTGATGGGACATGGGCAGGCGCCGGATGCCACGAGCTACCACCGGAAACGTGATCAGACGCCCGCCCTTGCCCCGCGGTTTTCGGAAACTAGTACCTCGGAGGTACTAGTTTTTTACAGTGCATCTTCGGCGTGAAGCCTCGGGTTCACCACGGGAGCTCTACGCTTCCCAGATGTTGCGGTGTGAACGCGCCCGGAAAATCCACCTATCTTCTGTCTCTGTAGCGTGGCTAATGCTCCGTGTGACCGCAGCCAGTAATATGTTACCTGTGCAGCGGCCCACCAAGGTGTGGTCCTTGTCTTCAGATGTAGTCAGGGTATGCTGCCAGTCAGTGTCATCTTTCTCACTCTGCACCATCCCACAGATATTAATGGCCTTGAAGGAACATTGGTCGAGGAGAGTAAGACTCGAAGCTGTAAAATACACACAAATGTTTTAAAGGAAAACAGATCTCCTGTGGAGATGTGCAACACACATCAGTCGAACAAATGTTCCTAGTCTTACCGAAACTGTTTCCACCAAAGTTCTCCAGATGCCTTGCTCAAAAAGGAATTTGGTGACAACCTGGAGATATATGAGCTTATTCCACACACACACCCCAATACTTTTGGATACTTCTACAGAAATTCTTTTACCTGTCTTCAACTTTTTGCAGATATTTTTCTAAGAAAACCTGTGATGTTTGTCTTCCAAGTTTACCTTGATTTTCCTTTAAGTGAAATTTGGTCACAATTCCATAATGTGAAGCTGATGAGTATCACACAACTGCTTCCGTAGAGTAAAACTCAACATAATAGATACTGACACAACAGATAACAGATATAGGGATACCTGCCTCCAGGTGAGACCTGGAGATCCCCTGGAATTACAACTCATCTCCAGACTACAGAGGCCCTTTCAGCACTTGCTCCGGAGAATCCGAGGAGTCAAGCCTTAAAGGTTGACTTCACAGTCTCACACATTCCCTCTGCACTGGTTTTTTCTTCTCCGGTTTATTTATTTGTGTATTCTGTATGCGTTCTGCATCTACAAGAAAGGGAAGGGCGGGGAAAATCCAGGCCCACACATGCAAGACTGACACATTTGGGAGCAGGGAATCCCCTCGCCCTTTATATTCGCTGATTCCTTCCGATGCTCTCTCTGTCTTTTTAAAAGTTTGACTGAGTGGGAGGACACATCCTCTTTTGCCTTTGGAGAAGGAGGGAAAGAAAAAAGAATGGGGAGGGAGTGTCAACCTACAGAGAGAGAGGTGGAAACGAGGGAGGTCAGTGGGCAGCACTTAAATACCCCCAGAAACAATTCTACTTTAGAAAGGATTAGCGGTTCGAAAGTGGATGAGAACAAAGAATCGCAGCAAAAGGAGTTTTGGTAACTGCGGGGCAACAGTGTGCTGGAAGCAGTCTGAATGTAGATTCCTGTAAAACAAATGCAGGAACAAGAGAAAGCCCCGACACAGCTGGGCAAAAGCGAGCGGAGAAGAAGGGAGGGACTACTGTCGAGGCGTTTGTTTGTGCGTGAGAGCCGGCTGTTTAATGTTTGGACTGTTTATGGCTGTGAATCCGATGGGAGTTTTGTAAAACGGAAAAGTTCAAACTGTGACAGCGAAGAGTGCCTGGCAAGCGCTTATATAAGTCAACAGTTGCGAGGAGGATACAGTAGAGAATATGGGAGCGGATATAAAAGCGAAAATGAAATTAATACAATTCTCAAAGCTGGGGACCTCCAGTAATGGCATGAAAGGAAGAGGATTTATAGTGCATGAACTGAGAGTGTTAACAGCAACCCGAAGGAGGATCTAACAAGCCGGAAGGAGAAGACCACAGAGGAAGCTCCTCCATATCAGTGATAGTAAAAGTACCCAGCACGCAAAGAAGCGGTTCTGAATGTGCCCAGAAGAGGTTTTTTTTATTAACAGAAATTCAAAGGAACACTACTAACATATTAACAGAGAACTACACGTGACCGGACTAAGAAAAGAAGTTTGACAACACAGAGAAGAAGCCCAAGAAGATTAATTGGACATTACTAACAGTTTAATTTACCAGTTTATATATCACTCAGCTTTCTCTTTCTCCCACTGTCTACCCTTCCCATTTTTTCTTTTAAGCGAAATACCTCCCCTTTTTAGGGGAGTCAATAAAATCTTTATTTAAAAAAAAAGAGAGAGAAAGCCCCGACACAAACTGGAAGTGAAAGCGGGAAGGAATGCAGAACGGAAGAATAGGATGTGCTCAGAAACCAAGCAAAATATGGGTGCCAAAAGGGCCAGAGATCAGTTCCGCTGGAGAAAATGGATGCTTTGGGGGGATGGGATCTAGGGCACATAGGTCCCGGTCCTCCCCAACCACCCCCCCAAGTCTCCAGGAGTTTCCAAGTCTGGATCTGACAGTCCTACGTCACCCATCTCCCTCCAGTGGCCAGGAGGGACCTGGCAACCCTACAACGGGTTATGTCCCTCCCCTTTGTTCAACTAAATGTGGGGCCTTCACTGGTCCCAAGGAGGCTCCTCTGGCAGAACTTCCTTGAGTCCTTAACTGAGCTTGACTGGTAGGAAACAACCCAACGTCTACATCTGCTACCAACCCAAGAAACCTGAAGTCCAAGTTCTGTGACTGGCTGTGCCTTCATCATGTCATGATGTGACTCGACTCAAACATCCCAATGGGAGCATAAAAATCATTTCCCTGTGATGTGCTCCCTCGCAAGATGATGATGATGATAAATATTAATATCAATAATCAGGGCTTTTTTGTAGAAAAAGCCCAGCAGGAACTCATTAGCATAATAGGCCACACCCTACAGCAGGAACTCATTAGCATATTAGGCCACACCCCTGACAGAGCAGCTCATTAGCATATTAGGCCACACCCCATGTTAGTAGATGTTTGGCCATCCAGCCACACCCACCTTTTGCTTCTTATTCTGTTTACCTTGTTTGTTGTCAAAACCCAGGGCCTTTTTTTGTAGCAGGAACTCCTTTGCATGTTCGGCAACACACCCCTAATGTAGCCAATCCTAATGAGTTTCTGCTGTTGGGTGTGGCCTGTTATGCTAATGAGTTCCTGATGAGCGTGGCCAACTCAGGAGCCAGCCAGAACTCCGTTCCTGTGCGTTCCTGCCCAAAAATAGCCCTGTCAATAATAATGTTATTTATAGTCTGCCTTTCTCACTGAGAGTCAAGGCGAACTACGTAGTGTAAGTCTGGTACAATCAAAAGGATGAGACATCCAGTGAACAGTACAATAGGGTCTGGACTGTAGAAACCTTAAGACAAAAAGAAATCTGAAACAGAGCTGAAACCAACCAACCTGTAATAAAGCATCGGCATTCAAACATGACTCATTAAATGGTGTAGAAACTACACAGACGGAGCATCACAGTGACAGGCAGCAATACGGTAGTATAGGCCGCAGGCTCTATCCCTTTGCCAGTGCAACCTCCTGAACCATTTTGTTATTGTCCTATTAGCCCTGACCTGAATAGCCCAGACTCATCAGATCTCAGAAGCTAAGCAGGGTCAGCCAGTTTGGAGTAGTGGTGAAGTGCATGGACTCTAATCTGGGAGAACCGGGTTTGATTCCCCACTCCTCCACTTGCACCTGCTGGATGACCTTGGGCAAGCCATAGTTCTGATAAGAGCTGTCCTTGAAAAAGAGC